ATAGCATCGCTGCACTATAGTGCAGGTGACTACAGATTAGTTGTCAGAGTGGCTGTGGGCTGATGTGGTGATCATGGCTGAGGATGTGGCCGTGTCAGAGATCTTAACAGATGGTCTCACTCTGCTGGTGAACATGGGCAAAGTTCTCCTGCAGAACGCCAAGGAGGAGGCAGCAGGTAGGGCTGATCCTAGTCGCAAACCCTGTTGAAAACTTTTCACACTTTAATGTGTGTTGCTACCAGAATATCTAAAAACTTCCTAGAAATGTATTTTTATGCTTTGTTAAAATTTTGTTCTGCCTCTTTTGTAATTCGGCATATAAAATATGCAAATTATCATTTAACTTTTTTTTTTATGGAAACTTTATTACTGGGTAATAACCCTGTGTGTGTGTTATGGCTGTTTTACAAAGAAGTAAAACCACACACAAAAAAACAAAAACAAAAACAGGACAATAATTATGTCTATGTTTGTCTGCCGAATTGAAGAACAGATTTTTTTATGATAAGATGATGCTTTATCTTTGTTGACTAACTGCTTTTTAACAGTCCCTAACCTTAAGAGTATAAAAATGCAAGAAATTTGAATGAAGTCTGGGTTTCCTATTGAGTATTTTATAACTTGGTTTCTGGAGCTTTGTTAAAGCCTTGTTACTGGATTAAAGGGGCCTGCTGGCATGAAGGTGGTGTAATGTAATCCCCGTCATGCCTATTGCCAACACAATGACATTGCACAAACAGCTTGACCCTGTAACTGTGGCCCTTTGTTCTCATGCAGACTCTTTGGAGAATTTTGTCCCACATAAAATCACCACTTTATTTGGCCTGATCACAGCTGGAGCTAGATTCTACAGCAGGTAGGATTTGGCTGTAGACGCTTAAAGAAGCACATTTCTCTGTGTCCTTATGAGAAAAATAATAACCGTTCAATCTGTTGAGCAGCATTGAAGTTAAAAAGAAATGTGAAGCGGAGGCTGTTTGGCAGAAGTCTTATCAGTAAGTATGTTTAAATAGCAAGCTGAAATAAAATGCCATTTATATTTTGTGTGGGTGATGTAAGATTTTCCTATTCTTATTTCTTCTAGCATTTGAATTCAATGACACCATTATGCCATATTAAATAAATTTAATGAAATGATGTTTATTGAGGCAAACGTATGAGGGAGACCGTGATAATCCCAATACATTGTGGAACAACTGAGAGAAAACACAGATGATGAAACTCTTCTTCTCTCTTTTTTATTATTAAGTCAGCTTCTACTTCACAAACCGCAAATGATGAAAGGCTCTTCACAGCTATGGTTGCCAAATAAATCTTTAACAGCATTTAGCCACATACCAAGCTGAAGTTACTGCTTTACTAGTTTACAACATTTACATCATGTAACATAAATCACCTACAAGTGATCTCGAATAAAAACAGCTGGAGAAAAGAATAGCTCTTATTTACTTTAAGATAAATCCATCTGCAGACCCAAGACGTGTCAGTAAGTGTATGTTGCTTCATTTTTATTAATGTTGAAAAGTCTGGCCCTTTGGGAAACTGCTGTATTCTGCAACCTACAGTCTTGAGCAACCCCTCATGTTTATATTCTGCTGTAACCTCCTAGGACAGGGGTCCCCAGTCCCAGTCCACGAGGGCCGGTGTCCCTGCAGGTTTTAGATGTGTCCTTGATCCATCACAGCTGATTTAAATGGAAATTACCTTCTCAACATGTCTTGAAGTTCTCCAGAGGCCTG